ACTCCAATAAGATGAGAAGTTACCAATGTAAGCTCAGTAGTCTAAATTTCTAATTTTTGACGAACACGGTTGACACATCTGTGAACCCGCGTCAAACCACTTCCATCCACTAACACTCAAACAAGGCATCAAAGACATCAACATATGAGCTTCTTCTCATTGATAAAAACGCCTGTAGACAATAGAGGAAACCCACCTGCTTCGCAAAGTCCAGGCCTACTTCTCGAAATGCCTTTTGCACCTCCAACAGTCCATTGCGAGTTTCTGGCGTCCCTCCACTCTAAAAGAGTTCGCAGCATATCAGAGAAGCGCGACGAGTAGCAATTTTAGAAATGTCATCATTCTACATCAGCATTTTCTACATTATCATGCAAGGGAACACAGGAAATTTCTGACTTGCTAATGACCATAATACTATGAAGCAGAGACATGTACATCGTATAAGAAAATCTGAAATGGGTAAACCAATCTTTGAGATTACAACGACAAGAGTCGAGGAAAGATCGGGACCCAGCTGAGCTATCTGATGATCGATGCTAGCAGGATCAGTGTTATCGATAAAGCGTAGCTGAATGGACACATTATGGAACAGTATGTCATCAGACTTGAAACAGGATTGAAGCGCTTCCCTGTGATATTAACAGGGACCAAAAGGGACCAGCTACACGGTTCAATTAACCCATGTACGGATTAGTACACTACATGCTTGTTAGAAAAGAGTGTCATGGGCTCACCTTTAGGGGAGGATTATCAGGTGCCAAAGCCTCGGCAACAAATTGAGGGCCAAGCGAAGAATCTCCAATACCAACAGAGAGAACTTGAGTGAAGCGACCTTGTGTGGGGGGTGGCTTGATCTGACCATCACACAAAAAGTTATCAACTCAGTACACCCATATAAGCATATAAACCACGTACTGATAAAACAAATAAGAAATGGTCAGATATCATTTCCTAGAATTAGGGCAAGGAATTCAGGAAGCCTTACTTTGTGATTGTTTTTCTAATGGCTATGCCATCAAATTCGGCAAAGTAAGATCCTATGAGAAGCAACAATTTAATGATTCAATGCTTATTCTGTGTCAAGGCTGACATCTCCAAAGAAATTGAGATGAGCACCTACAAAAAGGAAATCTAAGTGAAGGATTAGAACACAATTGCTGACCTCGAATTGTCTCAACATAGAACTGCAAATGATTTAAAATTTCAAGCAATCCAGGAAGGCCAAATTATACTTATTACCGAAAATATTAGACTTTCTAGTGTATGTTGAGGTTCTTCAAAGATGTTCGGCATGATGGGACCTTCATAAAACGGAACCGGAAAATATACATCACTGGCTTAAACAACCTGACCAGCTTGTGGAGCGATTTCTAACACATGGGCTCAAAAAAAGATGAAAGAAAATTACACATACTTGATATTAAAAAAAAAAAAAAAAAAAAAAAATGGAAACAATGGCTCACTGCTCCTAACTCTTTTTAGTACCAAACTTTAATAATGTTCATAAGGGTGCATCAGGAGAGACTCGGTTCAGGTGAATCGTACCCTTCTACTCATAACGTCTTCGGCGAAACCTTCTACTTTGTCTAAAGCATCAGAAATTAGCTTCTGAAGATATATCGTAGGGGCGAGTTCCGGCTTCCAAAGCCAGTAGTGTCCGACCATACGTCTTTCGTCAGGATTTGCAATTGAACCACCTCCAAGCTCAGCCATATCCTTGAAAGCTTTCTCGAAGTTCGGCAGCATGGCCTTGTGAAATTCATCTTTAAATCCAATTTGACTTACATTCAGGTAGAGGCCCAGCTCCGTGTCTTGGTACAGCCCATCAACGTACCGATTCCACAGCACGATTGGATCAGTTTCCAGTTCAGGTTCCCCCAGAGAAGACCAGCACTCTCTTCCGCAGTGATCTCACTAGAAACGGCCCGAACCTGAGACGTGGACGATGATCCCGACACAGGAATCGACGACATTATGAACCTTGCAGCTTACACTACAGCAGCGAGATGAAAGCCTGCATTATGCGGCAAGTGGTTCACAACCAGCTGCATCATTCCATTGCATCCCAGGGTATTTGACGTCGGTAACAACGTTGACATCTTAATTGACGAAACACAAAAGCGGAAGATTACACTGCAGCTCTCTCCACCCGACTTTCCCCTTGCACCATTCGCTTCGCAGCACCTGCTTAGCTCTAATTCTGCAATCGACAGCTGATGCACAAAAAGGGAAGGAAAACTATCAGCCATTTGATTCGAGGTTTGTTTCAGTTTGGACCAGAGAATGGTCCCAATGCGAAGTGACGAAGCTCAGAAGCGAAGGTGGCAGAGAATAGGGAGGAACGAAGAGGGAACGGAGAAGGGATTGAAGACAATTGAGGATGGAGCCATGGGATTGAAGAAGAAGGAAGCAGAAGAAGAGGTAGACTCCTCACAGCCATTGCCATGGCAGGCCCACTCCTCGTGCTTGCTGGAGCTTCTCGGTCGGCGTCATAAGTGTATGGCTCTCACCCACCATAGCTAAGCCGGTCTTCCCGCTGCCTTTGACCGGTCGTTGTCGGTCTTCGAAAAAGCTTGGAAACAATGAGCTTCTTTGGGCTGATGTAAAGAGGAATAAACGAATGTGCATTGGAGTGAGGGAGAAAATGAACTGATAAACGAAAGGAAAAAATGGTTTCTAATGTACCTTTTAACTATATATATATATATATATAGTAAAAATCTCTATACATTTATACAATTGTTTCATTATCACAATTTCAAAAATATATAGTTTTTTCTTTCTTTCTTTCTCTTTTTCTTTCTTACTTTTTCGTTTTCTTTGGTTTTTTATTTTTTTATTTTTTTATTTACCTAAAAGTTACCAATTTTTTTGAGTATTAGACCTTAATTTTTATAATGATAAAATTAATAATTATAATAATAATCACAACAAAATAATTATGTTAATAGTTATTAGTCAAAGTTATATTGACAAAAAAATTGTAAATCATTTATTAAAGTTATAAATATTGTAAGAGGCTATAAATATACATGACACAATCTATTGTGTTATGTAAGTGTTTTGGAAATTCTTTGAAGTTTAATATCTTTTTTGTTTGTTTATTATCTTAGAAATGACTATCTCAATGTTATGATCAATGTTATGTATTGTATCTTGATATGTCAGTGGTCAAATGTGTATATTGAAGATTAAGACAGGATAACATTGCAAATTGATTTTAGATTCTTAACAAATTCTAAAAGTGACTTTTAAGATTTTTTCTTAAAGTATCTTCTTATGCTTTTTTAAAAATAGTCTATAGAGTTGTCGTTGCTTGCCAGAATTTCTTTTTGTAGTCTTTGAAATAATCATCAATAAAAATTTTATATTTTTTCTTATTAATAACAATCTTTTTGTAAAGTATTTGTTTCAATTTTCCAAACTTACTTATAATTGATACTAGATAACAAGGAAGAAAAACAACAAATACTAAACAAATTCAATGCCTATATAAAGGGAAAAAAATGAAAAAAGAAAAAATAATAAGATCTACACAAATACAAGACATTACTTAAATTATTATCTACATCTAATTGAGTTTTTTCTAAATATTCTTCACAGTTTAAGCTTTTGCTCTTGAAAAAAAAAAAAAAAAAAAAAAAAAAAAACTGTAATTGATCATTTTTGGCAAAATTACATAATGGTACAAGAAGAATTGGATGATTGAACATTAACTAATAGTTAAAAAAAATCAAGTCCAATGTATTAATAGATATTCTAAATATAAAAACTAAGAAAATACCATGCAAAAATTAATCATGCTATTTGCCTATATTTTAAAATTTGAAATTATTTTAATATATAAATATATTATAAGTTAAAATAATTGAACTAGTTTGAAGTACAATTTCGAATTGAAAATATCAAACATTAAAATAGATGAAATTTAAATATTTTGAGGAATGCAATTAGTTCTATAATCTTACTATTTATGTTATCTTAAGTGTAAGAAATCAACGTTACAATAAAGTCAATCTTTAAATAGTTTTTCAAAAATTATATTTAACAGACACTAGTCCAAAATCTAGCATTTAAAATTTTGAACATTGCTATATATATACATATCTAACAATTAATTAACTTGAATTTTTAGATGCAGGTCTGCCTCTTTGTAAGCAACAGTATTTAATTCAAACAGAATTCCTATATTGTTTTATTTGGAGGACATGTGGTTGTTTTGAGACAAATATGTTATTTTATAATTTCAGTTCGTTTTATACATTAATCACTCATGACATTACTGTAGACGTAATATTCTGATCTTTTTCCAAGTATGAACAGTTTTCACATATATTACTACCTCTCAAAACAGTCTGATAAAGAGTTACAAGTTACATGTTGGAGCAAAGTAATTACTGTTCAAATGAATTTCTTTCGAGATAATTAAAATTTTGGAAAAATTATTTAGTGTATTGATAGATGTTTTAAAATATCAGGAGTTGCAACATATTGACAACTTTCCCTTTCGATGAACACGGTCATTAAATTGAGTTAGTATCTCCCAAAAGATGACTTCTGTGATGTACAAATTGATGAATGTAACAAAATCCTTGCTATTCAATGTTATCTCACTAAAACTTATCTTGTGGAATAATTAAAAAAAAACAAGGGGCTTTTAGGCAAGATATCGCTAAGGACAGTAGAGTCGAACAGGGAATTATCTACTTCAGTTGGAACAGTCTCCCATTGTTTCCTAAGATTGTCATTGGTATATTTGCGTGTATATATGTTCGATGGATAGGACAGAGAAATTTCTTCCAAGGAAAAACACTACCGAACACTTGCATGAGTCAAAGGCAACTCCTTCCGGGTGAAATAGATGGAATCAACTCCACATCTCTCGCTACAATTTCCAGAGGGTCCGGTGAAATACTTACGAAAACGTTCATTGGTTATAAATGTCGACGATTATCAGAAACACAGAACAGTCAGGACAACAGGTTCATTGCACAGAGCGATATCGCAAATATTGAATCTTTAGGAGATTTTTAATGAAAAATTGTATTTCCAAAATACTGCATTGCCAGCTAACGATGTCAAGTCTTCCAGACTACTTTGTATGCTACAGCGAACCACGGTGCCCACCTCGTTCCTGTGGTTCAATTCCCAATCAGCATGATTGGCCAAGTTTGACTGAAGAGTTAGATGTCCTTCGTCTTGGACAGGTAGAGGTTACCTGGTTCTCTTGAATTGTTCTGTTGTGTTTAGGTTGCTGTCTTATCAACATCAGCGAAATAAGTATGGCTCAAGGCGGCTTTGGCAGAGATTCTCTTTGAGGGCTCGAATACCAACATTTTCTGCAAAACAGGCAAAAGTAGATGTAAGTCACTCTAACAGAAGTTAAATATGCAAGAAACAGGCTACACGTCAACAAGCCGTAATCCGGTGCTGATTCATGAGGAATTCAACGTATAGGCCTTCACAAGCAGCGACACTTACGGCGAGAAGGTCTAAGCCAACCGCGCTGAGTCCGGGAACAGCAAGGGACAGATCTTGTGGTCTCCATTGAGGAAACTCGTGCCAATCACGGTGCTGGCTAACACCAGGCCAGATTGTCTCATTCGGGGTGCCAAGCAACCTGCACATTGAATTAGTTGTGTTCCTTCTTCTCATCCCCAAGCGAACTCTTCAGGAAGAAATGCAAGTAAATGTAAGAGTTTAACAGGATGTACATGCCGATTGGTAAGCACCCACCTGAAGATGTGAAGAAGCTGCTGAAGTTCGGAGTCTCCAGTGAAGAGCGGCATTTTCCGGACGAGTTCAGCTGTTGAGTATCCGATCCAAGGTTAGAATTAGCGCAGCTGAGTTGTTTGCTATTCGATGATAGTGATGTATAGACAGATGCCTCTAGAAATTATGTAAGGCAGCTTACCGAAGATGCACCCAACAGACCAGATATCCACAGGTAGAGAGTAGTGGGTCGCTCCAAGAAGAACTTCAGGAGCTCGGTACCATAGAGTAACAATCTGAAAAGGTCCACCGCATACGGCATAAGTACCATAAATGGAGATTGGTTGCAAGGATTAGTTACGGGCGTCAACGAATGCGGAAAGAGTACCTCGTGTGTGTAACTCTTCATTGGCACTGTGAATGCCCGACCGAGACCAAGGTCGGCAATCTTAAGACGACGGGTTTGCTTGTCGACGAGCAAATTCTGGGGTTTCAGATCCCTGAAAGCAAGATTAGCTTAACATCAGTCAAACATAATGAATAGCATCAAAGCATGGACTGCGAATCATACTACTACGATCGTGGACAAGGTAGTCATCGTATACCAGCAAACAATATCACGAGGACGAAACATGAAAGTATTTGAACCTGTGCATTACTCCGTGGCCATGACAGTGGGCAAGCCCTGTGCACAATTGATACATGAAACTCTGCTCAATGAGAGAAAAACGGTTAGTTAGCCAACCACCGATCCTTCCGACATTTCAACGCATTACGCGCAAGAGAGACCAGAAACAACTCATCTAAGTGCCTGCTTGGAGAGATCCGCACCTGGACCACTTTGGGAGGCAGAGGCTTCCCGCTCGGACCACGACCGTGCAAGTCAATATACTTCTTAAGATCAGTGTCCATATATTCAAAGACCAAGTAGAGCATGGGCTTGCCGCCTTTCTCGACGTGCTCCACGCAAAGTAGCCTGGAGTGAACACCCATAAGAGTTATCTGAATGACCTCTATAGCCACACTAGTGATTACGAAATTGGAGACTAGAAATAGAGCCCATAAACTTCATGGCACAGCCAGAAGTTCAACAAAGTACGATCCATTATCAAGTTTGAGAACCACAGCAGAAGTCACCATGGAAGTTGACCTAAAAAAACCCAAGCCAGCATAGGCGGTATGAAGGCCTCTAAACCAGCAAAGGGTGACAACTTGAAGAAAACGACCTCGGGACATGGTCCAACCTGACGATATACATGCTGTGGGAGAGCATTTGTAGCAACGAAACTTCGCGCAAAGCGGTGGAAGGGACGCCTTCTTCCTCCATCTCCAACCTAGTCTTCTTGAGCGCCACCAGCTGCCCGGAGCGTTTATCACGGGCCTTATACACCTTTCCGTAAGTCCCCTCTCCTACCTTCTCCAGCTTCTCATAGTTGTCCATACCAGAAACAGACATCCTCACTCACGCACTCACTCACTCACTCACTCACACAGCAAACCGCACTGTAGCTCTAAAACGCTAGCTCCTTACAGTCCAACCACCCACTCCAACGCGACAACACTTACAAAACCCCTCCAGAATAGAGTACGAAACAATGCAGCCAAGCATCCACCGATCCGACGCACAATAACAGAAAGTCACAGAGAGCAGGAGAATGACACACACACACACACACACACTAAAGAGGGAGAGTGTAGTAGAAGGCGGGAGAGAGTGAGAGAGAGTATAGAAGCCTTGAGAGAGGCGCGGGGGTTGGCAACGGCTCTCTCTCGACAGGGATTCGAATTCCGAAGCGCGGCGGGCGTTGCGACGGGGACGCCGAAGCGGGCAGAGTCGCCACCAGCTTGGACACCGACTGTGGCCGTTGCTACACTGGGTTGGGTCCAGGTCACTCACCCGGCCCGTCCCACACTCGCTTTTGCCCTCTCACTTCCTTCACCCCTGGGCTATGTATCTACGTATCTAATGTTATGTCGGCCCCGTTTTCTGTTTCCCTTCGTCTTTTGAAAGACATTTTGATTTTGATTTACTTATTGATGTTTGTGTGTGGTGATGGCATGGCCTGTGTTCTCGTTCCAGCCTGGTTTGAATTTTGATATGGTTTGCTTTGCTGAACTTTTTAACTCTCCCTTGAGTTTCCATTTTATTCCAACTGTTGCACCATTGGGACCCCCCCCCCTTCTCTTATTTTTATTTTTATTTCCTTTTTTCCCCTTTTTTCCGTAATTCAGTTTGAACTGTAATGAGTGGCTTAATGAATTTTTGTTTAAAATACCATTCAGCTTTCCTTTCGCTTATAGTTTTCTGTTTGAAACCAAACCTCTACCTTGCCTTGTGTGGGTTTGGTTTAAGAAAATAAAAACGTTGAAACCACCATATATATATATATATATATATATATAATTGTTATTATTATTATTTATTCTCTCTACATGATGCTTTTTATGTATAATAAAGGAATACCAAAGCATCTTCACAACATTCCCTATTGGTTTTAATCTCTTTGCAGCACTTGAATGTGGATTTAAGTCCCCGGTTTCAGCTATATGGTGACTACACATTATTGTTAACACTTTTTGGCAAAGAGACGTTTTATTCAATTTTGAAATCTCCTTTTCTAAGTTTTTTTTTTCTTTTTTTATTCAACTCCAAATTTTCTACAATTTTGGTCAGATGATCGAAAGCAATAAGTAAGTACAAACATTATAAACTTTGGTAACACCTCACAAAATCAATAATTTCAAAAGTAAAGCATGTAAGTGTTTTATGGTGTATAAAAGTCATTTGTATCTAAAGTGAAAATACACAATTTACTCCAATACAAATCAATTTTTTTCTAACCTCGAATAATAACCTATCTGTTCTGTGTATTTAGGTTATTTTTATTTCTATTTTTATTTTTAACTGCCACAGTTGACTTCAACTGCCACAGCACCCACTGTGCACAAATTGGGTTTTTCCTTCGAAGCTGAGATTGTCTGCATACTAGAGATGGAATACAAGTTGATTGGGTTGGAGTTCCCTGAAATTAGTGTGAAATTTCTCGTTCTGTTGATAAACCTTCAATACTTACGTTTGGGGATTGGAAAAAAGCAGAGATGGGCTCTCGAGGGCAGACAGCCTCAGGTTGATTCGGACATCCGCATGTCTAAATGCATTTAAAAGCAACTAAGAATTCAAGGGAGTATTTTAATCACAGTATCAAAGGTAGGCAATAAAGTCTGCAAGTGCTGACAAAATGATGGAAATGTGTGTTCTCTTGGCAATGCTCTACAATGCATTTCTGGACCAATTGTATTGTCCAATGAAGATACGAGCTGCAAGACCACACAATGTGACAGTCAACAATGAAGATACGAGCTGCAATAGCATACAAAGGAGCTCACTGAACTTGTTATGTGGTATTAACATATCCTGGAAATCAACAGACAGACATAAAAGAAAAAAAAGGAAAGCAGAGAAAAAGCTTTTAAATAAGAAGCAGATTAGAACTAAAACCAGAGGTTCAATACTTTGACTACACGAACGTAGTCTGAGATTTACGCATAATTTCCTCAAAGGGGGATTACAAAGTTAAAACCCAAAAGTACAGTCAAAGACCACCAGCATCATAGTGCATGCAGGAAGCAGGTTTACACAAAAGTAAATGAGATATAAACTGCTCCAGACTGAAATAGAACGAAACATATAGCACTTCTCTGGTGAACACTGGGAAGAACGATACTCTTTGAGAGCTACACTATGTCAATGGAATGTTCCAAAAACATCCTCCACGGGCGTATCGTGGTCAGCATCCCCCGCGCAGAGCAAGCACCAAGTGAAGCACAGATCCTCCCTCAATGTTGTAGTCTTTGGCTGTTTTGTCATCGTTCATCTGCTTTCCCGCAAATATAAGCCTGCAACCTCATAACCAGCCAACAGTAGGAGTGAAGGCTTCGGAAATTAAAAATTCCCACACCAAAAACATCAAGAAAACACATTATGATAAAATCTGGTAATCTCAATGACTTATTCAGGGACTAAACTGTACTAGCCCTCTCCAAAAACTAATACCTACTGTGCATTAACCCTAACCCTAAATATGATCTAAACCAATATGAGAAGTTTTAAATTACCTTTGTTGTACGGGAGGAATGCCCTCCTTTTCCTCCACACGCTCCTTGATGCGCTCGATGGTGTCATAAGGCTCAATGTCAATTTCAATTTCCTTGCCAGTGAGGGTCTTCACTTTGATCATAGTACCGCCCCGTAACCGAAGCACCAGATGCAGAGTTGATTCCTTCTGGATGTTGTAATCGGCCAATGTACGCTCATCCTCTAACTGCTTACCGGCGAAGATTAAGCGCTGCTGATCAGGTGGAATGCCTTCCTTATCCTGCACCACCAAATTGTACTCCGCAATTAGTTGCAGTTTTTCTACATACAATTCCATCAACAGTCAATTACAGCACTACAGTATGTTCGATTCCAACCTCAACCATAAATGTCTTCGTATTCTCTGGAGAAAAAAATTCAATTATTAGTTCTTGTCGAAAGGGTGTCGCAGTCGCACTTAGGTCACTTTCTATTTCAGAGATCATCAATTGAGGGGGTCAGTAAACCCAGACAATCAGTAAAAATCAGCTGATCTCCCACCAAGTGCAAGCACATGCCTGAATTTTGGTCTTGACATTTTGGATGGAATCGCTGCTCTCAACCTCAAGAGTGATGGTCTTTCCCGTCAAAGTCTTCACAAATATCTGCATCTTGCCGGCTGAATCCCACCCTCACCTCACCTTCGAAGGTCAACCTACACCACAACCGATCAAAGCCAAATCAGACACGGGATACACAACCTTCAATCGGGTAATTCAACCCAAGTCCACGAAACCCCAACAATCTCCAAAAACACAGCCACATATACTCAAAACAAACTCCCTAAAAACCACACACACACACACACAAACACACATAGGGTTTCCAGTTAGGAAGTGGAACGTAGAAGTACCAAGCTGTGCACAAGTTGAAAGCTCCTCCTCCGCCAGCGAGCACCCTGTAAACACTCAAAGCCTCTCGAATACCGCAAAGTACACACAATGGGCACAGACCCATAAAACCAAATGGAGGCTAAATTGCCACTTATGAGGAGTGGAGCAGAAGTGGAAGAATCCAGGACGGTGGCTGGAAATAGACAAGAAGATGCTCCCACCCCAGTCCAGGCAATTAAATACATGGCACACATGGGCTTCCACGCAAGCACATCTGTTGTGCATCAGGCTTTTCTATCTTAATTAAAACCCAAAGTAAATAATAAAAATAATTATAAGAAAGAAAGAAAAGAAGAATGAATGAATACAGTTTTGGGGACTAAAGCCCACAATTTGATTCTCAGTACAGCCACTCCAATGTTTCTTACCCAAAAATATAAACCGCTTGTTTTTCCCTTGTTTGGTTATGTTCACATTTTCCATCCATTTTTCAAAAAGTTGTTAAGAACCCAACAAGTAGAGTTTGTGATTGAGGTTGGCTTTTGTTTTTGGTACAAGTAGATAAATCAAAGAGGATGAAATCTATGTAACGGTCTATTATGCATGGTTTCGATAGTGAGAGGTCATTTCAAATTGATGATTTGTGATTTCAAATAAAACTAATAACTAGTGTCTATTATTTCTGTGTAATCAATAATATTAAATAAATAGGAACATTTTGTTTCACTAAGTTTTAATCAAGGAAGGTTAAAAAAATAATTTTGTATCAAGATTTAAAAGATTCAAAGTCATGTAGTCATACTTGGAAAACACATGCACATGGACAATATGAATTAAAAAAAAATAAAATACCAAGGTTTTAGAAGAAGGAACTTGGAGCAACAAGCAACTCATACAATTGAGCACGAGCAGAAACTTTAGGTAGAATCTTGAAATAAAAATAAAAATGAAACTAGAAACAGGAAACTACTTTTATCCACTGCTGAAGTAGTTCATGAATGGCAAGGAATGAGACAAATAAACGAATCAGGAATCCTATTAGATGGCAAAGTAAAGTCCCACAGACACTGAATGAGAACCAATTGAAAGGTAAGATAAATTGCACTACATTCTCTAAATCGGGTCTTTTGGTGCCTGCTTTGTATCTAGAATATTAGGACATAAACTGGGTTGTTATTTTACACACACCTTGATTTGAGCAATTGGTCTGCACTCAGAGCGTAAAGAATAAAATAAAGAAAGAAAAATCAGAGCAAATCTTTGCAAATTTCATCTGAATCAGACATTAAGCACTTAACATATGGTAATTCTGTTAAGAGGGTGAGTGTATACATTCCTAAAAAGAGGTATATTTGACCTTTCTATATCTATCAGTGGTTGTCGGAGGGTGCAGTAGGTGCTAGTGCTTGTGGGGCACGTCTTTCTTCTATTTTAGACCATTTATACTGGATTACCATGTGGCTGTTCCATTAGAAGATGGGGGTTTCCGTGTGCTTGAAATGAAACATTTAACTCCAATATGTAACAAAAAAGAAAAAAACAAGTTACAACCACTCCCCAGCTAGATGCTAAAACAGAGAGAGACTAGGTTTGCAGTTTGCACAGTAAAGAAGGGATCCTTCTGATGTTTAAAACCGCATCTCATCAGATAATACAAGTTACAGCACAGGTTATAAGGGTTGCCTTCCACCCTACATTGCTTCAGGACCTTGTGAGATTGCAATCAGAGTCGAACTGTACGCCTATCATTCCACAGTGAGCAGTATATATTGACGACTAAACTTGTGAGCTCTGCAAATTGTTGAGAGTATTGATAAATTCTTCAAACAAGCTCCTTCTCCTTCTCTCTGTCCTTCCCAGCACCCTCCAACTCCCGCATTTCTCCAACTTTGCCTTCAATTTCCTTGACAAGAGCTTCCCGGAAGAGCTCCTCCCTATTCTCAATTTCTTCTATCTCCTCCTGCATAGCCAGTCATTCCAGGCACCTTGGTTAGAGCTACTGGGAAGTTGTTGAGCCATATTTTCTAGATAATACAAACAAACAGATGCATAAGCCTGTGATATGATCGACCGGCATGACATCACATGCTCAAAATCTTCGGTTCAATCTAGACAGTCCTATTAACTTAGAGTTAAATGTGCGCGGAGTTTCTTTAATCTCCCAAACAATTTTCTGCTTGCATAAGCTTACCACATCATAAATCCAATGGTTGGTTCCGTTCCCACCCGCGCCGCGATAATCTTCACTTTCGTAGAACGGATCCTGCCAAATCAACCAACCGAGGAATAAACTGAATGCAAAATTATCCTAATTGCTGAAAGCAGTCCTCTGATTCACGATAATATCAATAGGTCCTAAGAAATATGCGAAACCGTGCATTAGAATCGGGGGTATAAGAGTATCTGCACAGGAAGGCGAGGACCTACTAATACTGGGTCGAGTTAGAATATGACTTACAGTCATGGATCCAAACACGCAGCAACCCCAGCAGAAAACCATTGAAATAAGCATGTCTATCGACACAGCCAATTAACAAATATTAGCATAAATACAAGAGGAAGCAATCTCTCCGTAGCTACAGGTTTCAAGCTATTGATTCGGGAAGCCTCGTACTGTATGCAGAAACCACTGCGAGTTCTGTTCTCTCTTGAACAAATTGTATATTCTCCGGGTTGCCAGATCTTGCTTTGTAAGCAAATAAAGCATCGATACAGGAAAAAAAGAAAAAAAGAAAAAGAAAAAATTGGGTTGCAAGTGAACCAACACATGAATGAACGAAAAATGTAACGAGTGGTAGTAATGGGTGCAAACGTCTTACATAAGTCCTTCGTCATCTTCTCAGGCATCATCCAGTCATTGAAGGTGTCAATGAACACACTGTCATTGTAGTAGGTGTCAGTAGACTGGGTGACGACAACTGTTGCGAGAATTGCAGGGAGAGCAAGTGAAAAAAGCTTTGTCTCCCGTCGGCTTTGCGGTTTCTCATTCTACACATCCAGTGAAGAAACCCTTATTCCTCAGTACTTGAACGGAGAGCTATGTCCATCACCTAAAAGCTTACAGCGACGGCAGAGGTAGAATTAAATACACTTCCTCATACCGTCACTAAGAGTCTACAGAATAGAAAACACTCTGGAATCACTACCTTTATAAGGCAGTCTTCATTGTAAAACGTGGAATCCTGTAGAGGAAGTTCTCACAACACTTCTTTCATGAACAGTGGAAAGACAATTGACTTGCATTCGTAGACATTTCTGAGCAGTGAAGGGAGCAGTACCTTCTCTGACGCTCCCGAGGCTTTGATTAGTAGAGAGCAGCGTCTGCCTTCGGATGCACCCCTTGAAGAGCCCTGCCAATCACGTATTATTCCATCAATACCATTATCCAATAAAGTTCTGATGCGATTGCTTACAGTGATGAGGGAAAGGTTATCATTCAGTCACAACGAGCACAGCAAGTACTCCCCGACCAATTGCTCAAGAGTTGATTTCAATGGATACAAGAAACACTTCACTCATTGCCACAAGACGTTACCACAAAATGCTCGAAGAATCTCTCTAATACCATATGTCAAACACAGCCACCGCTTTGAATACAAAAGTGCCCATATCTGGAAATTCCTCAAAAACTCGTACCGAAGCACATCCCTCGCAAGCGAATTCGGTTGCCCCTCGAACATTCCTAAATTCTATGGAAATTTGGAACTAGCAACGAGAATATCGAGAAGAGCCATACCACAGACGAAGCTCCAGCAGAGAAGACACGCCGGACATTCTTGAGAGAGCTAGCATTCCAAGAGGACGCACTGCCACATTGTATGTGCAGCCCACGCCCTCCCAGAACTGCTTGCGCCATAGCCATTTCAATATTCTGTCAGTCTCTGAGGCGTAGGTACTGACTGCACTCCAAGAGATTCACAGCCTTGTGGGTTCTTCCGCACTCTACCGAGCTCTCCTTCCCTGACTTCGAGAGCCCCACCTGCACATACACTTCCTCTGGGTACCTACATTCTGAGACGCAACAGGGCCAAACTTCTGGTTCTCCGAAAGCGGCACCAAATCCAACTTCCGATTGAAGGGAGCAACCTTACTGGCCTTCGGATGTTAAGATAAAGAGAAAATGGGTGGCAGTGGATATCAACCTTTGCTCAACCGTAGATTCGGGAATCTACTTTCAAATGCGAATGAGGCTTTTCGTAGATGGAGGATGCCGTCGTCCTTCTCACCTATTCCTACGTAATAGGTACTATTCCTAAATCGTCGTGAAATATTTTTGGAGCGGCCAACGAGTAGCTATGGCGGAAAATCTACCCGGAGTCGGTGCATTTTGGAGATTCATTTGCAGAGTTTCTGTGAATCAGTTAGCGATTTATCACGCGCTCTGCTGCGTACTCATACCATTTGTCGCAATTTTTCACATGAGGTGAGTTAGCTCCAAGATCCATCTTGATCTGTTTAGATCTGGAGGGCTTAAGCTTAGGAATTCACCGAATGCATCTCATCGTTTGCATCACGTAAATTATGTCCATTTGATTTGAATCTTTTCCGCGATTTGTCTTGTCTTATTGCTTTTACTGGATCTGCTGGAGTTTTGAAGTGGATGCTTAGAGTTTCAGTTCTTTATTTAAGGATATTATTTTGCATTCTCTCACCATATATTTAACATTCGATGTATCGTGGATGTGACAACATGCACACCGCTATGTAGTGCTTGATTTCATGATTTTCTTTTTTTGAGAATAGTTTAAGTCCCATTCAAACCAACTATGAGTTCGTTGTTCTGTAGTTGCAATGTCGACTTCACTGAGATCGCAAGAAGAGCTAGCGAAGCAGAAACAGCGGATTGATGCCAGTGGTCTCTACTTCAACGTACCTCCTGGCGATAAGGTTAGTTAGAATTCATTTTAAGCATGCTCATTTTTCATTGTCCAATTTGAAGCGTTTCGTTAAAAGGCTCAGCAAACAGTCGTGAAACAAATTCTCATGTTCTATCTGAACGCAGGATCCGATCGTGTATTCACCATCTTACAATATTTCGTTCCTTGGCATGGAAAAACTGTAAGCCTTTATCATCCTTGATCACCAAATCTGACATGAGTTTAAGGATCGAATTTGCAAACGGTCTGAATTAGAATGTGCTTTCCACGATGTACTGGTGAATTCGTACAGGCATCCTTTTGATTCATCGAAGTGGGGCCGTGTACAAAAATTCCTCGCTGATGAGGGAGTGCTGAACCGGAAGCGCATTGTGGAGCCTGTTGAGGCAACAAGAGACGATCTTCTCGTCGTACTGCATTTTTCACTATCCATGTCAAGAGCATTTATACGCACACTTTGCTTAGGATTGCGAACTACATTAACATGGAGGTTTAAGGTCGGCGAGGGTTGATAATTTGCTTCACATGCGAATTTTTGTTCCCGTAACCGCTATTCTTCAGTTTTAAAATGAAAAGACTTTTTCTGATGTCAAACGCAGGTGCACAGTGAAGAATACCTTGACAGTTTAAAGTGCAGTTCGGTGGTCGCACAGATAGCAGAGGTAACAAGTCTTACCTGCTACAGTTATGTTGTGGTTCTACGAACTACGAATGTCAGTATTCTAAAAACGTGAAACGCCTCGCATAAATTGCCTTGAAAATCCTCCACTTGTCTGTGTTGTTATCAAGTGAGAACTTGTTTGTTTTAGAACTTATCCAGGTTGATACATTCTGGGTTCTCTGAGTGATGAACATCCAGGTGCCACCAATAGCGCTTCTGCCGAACTTTGTGGTGCAGTGGAAGGTCCTTAAGCCCTTTCGAAAACAGGTAAACCTTTTGGAGCCGATTTCACACAGATGTCTGCTGATGCGAGTAATTATAACATTATTTTTAGTGGCACCTCGTGTGAAGCAGTACGCAAGTCGAATAGAGTGTACCTTATGTCGTGATTTGGACTTCTGGTAGTTATGATGTTTTCAATTGTCCAAAGGAGATTCTTTCGTTTATAATTTAGTATTTCTGAGAAATGAAGCATTCCTGGTGTTGTGATCAGGTAGGCGGTACAGTTCTGAGCGCGAAGTTGGCCAAGGAGAGAGGTTGGGCTATCAACATTGGAGGCGGATTCCACCATTGTTGCGCTACTGAGGGAGGCGGCTTTTGTGCTCATGCGGACATTAGTTTGGCTATCCAATTTGCATACACACGTCTGGGTATCACGAGGTACAAAACAATTTATTTTTACCACCCTGCTTAATCTATCTATCTATCTATCTATCTATATATATATATAATTCTCTTGTTCTAGTTCATCCCCTCTTCATAGGCCCGTTATCTATTCGAATCGAGGATTTTTAATGTTAAGCTTCACAACTGATGAGGTGCTGCAGCTTGTTATTATCTATCAGTTAAACTTCGATTTGAAAATTTCCCAATTCACTGATATGATTTGTGTGCAATGGGAGCTACCAGGGTGATGATTATTGACCTAGATGCCCACCAAGGTAATGGGCACGAGCGGGACTTTATGAATGATGGTAATATTATTATTTTTTCCCTTTCTTTACACAGCTTCACATTTTCAAATTCAACCTATTGTCTAGCCAATGCAATTGTTTCATTAGCATCAAAGGATCTTCATGCCTTGGACTGATTTGGCCGAGCTGGCATGGTTGGAACTGGGGTTCAGACAGAGTCTACATCGTTGATTTGTACAACTCAGATATCTATCCTTGGGTAAGCCTTTTGTTTCACTTGCATTGATAATTTTACGAAGTGGAGTACTTCCCTTTTTCCTGGATGGACTCAAACTATGTTTTAATTGGTGTGACGAAGACGCACGTGCATGGTGTCTAGGTGAAAAGTGTTTGGGTGAATCGTTGTGATGTGATGCAGTTGTTGCTTGAGTTGACGATTTTGCTCGTGCAATATTTGTTCGCAGGATCATGAAGCCAAGAGACGGATGAATCAATCAGTTACTCTCAAGGTATTCAGGCCACTTCTTTAGTCAGCACGACAGAAGCAAGCATAGCTGGTATCATGAATTACTTCATTTTGCTCTTTTCAGCACCTATATGCTTGTGAGCACTTATTCGGTATGCTTACTGGTTATTGCACAGAGCGGCACAAAAACCGATCAGTATCTTGAATTACTCAGTCAAGCATTGAAGGTGCGCATGAGTTTAACCAAGCTGTAAATTCATGTACACTGTAAATTTAATTTGCTTCATATTCAGCAAGAGTAAGCACTGTTATATTAACGTCGTCTGAGTCTTCTGATCAATTGTAAATAAACTTAGTTAGCATGCAACTTTTGATTACAGAAAGCTGAAGCTATCTTCAAGCCAGAGTTGGTAGTGTATAATGCAGGTTCCGACATCCTTGAGGGTGATCCTCTGGGCAGGCTTCTTGTAAGCGATTCTACCATATCCCTCGAACCTTCCTGAAAAAGATGTGGATGTTTGCGGTAGGGATGATACTATTGGCCGTCTTAGAGTTCTTTCTGATTTTCTTTTTTAAGACTTATTAAATACACATAGATAATACCATTCATTGATTAAAGTCCATTAGCTGTAATTAAAATAATTAGTTTTGTTAAACGACAGGTTACACCAGAAGGAGTGAAGCAACGAGACGAAATAGTCTTCCAATTTGCCAAAGATCAGCATGCCCCCATTCTCATGCTCACTTCAGGTAAGTTGACAATTCATATTCATACCAAGAGATCCGATTTATTCCACATATCCAAGTTTTCCAATGGTTAAATTGATCCGACTGAGATTAATTGATACAGGTGGCTACATGAAGACTAGTGCCCGTGTGATCGCTGATTCGATCACAAACCTTGGAGCCAAGGGCCTCATTTCACTACCAAGTGGTGGTTCAGTATCGGCATCCTGTTGTGCCTTAAAGTAGCTGCCCGTCTCAGAGTTCCTATTTCATCCACCTAAGATACCACTCCATGGTAGTGAGAATCTGATGCTCATCAAATAGCTGAAGTCGAGTGCACAAAATATTAAATCCATACCATGATGCACATCTACAGGTTGCTATCTGCGAAGTCTATTAGTTGGGTAGCTTTTGTATGGCTATTTGTTATTTCACATGCTGCAACTATCAAATGCTTGCCTCTGAGGAAGGCTACTAACAAGTTAACCCACAGTTTATTCATTGTTGCTACTTTCTGCATATCTCAGAGCTCATAAGTTGAAGCTTATTCAATAAATTTTAGCCTAACAGTGTGGAACCCATACCATCCCTCTTGCTGTGGTTTTGGCCCCATTCTTTGAATGCAATTCAGCTCCTTATTTCATGTATCCATGGCACATTAGGATCAATGAGTTTGGGGCAAATTTGCACCTAGACTGAACCTAGTGATATGAGTTTGGGGTAACAAACTTGTTGCAGACCACTCAGGTTTCATTCCTCTGACCCACCTTGTGATGACCTGCTTGATGACAATATAACAATGACTAAAATTTCTTGATTACCTCAAGTTGTCTTTACCAACTTAAATTATTTTGTTCTTTCATGGAGTGTCTATGATATTTTGAAGGCAAACATGACTTATTTAGAGTGATATGTAGAACTTTTGACAAACAGATTAAGCAAGGTTTGAGAAGAGAACTTGTATTCATCTAAGTTTGTGACATAATAAAAAAGAAAGTAAAAATAAAATATTTGTTGTAAATTATTAGTGAATCGTTTTTGGTTATCAAAGATTGTGATGATTTAGTAGGATAAAGTAATGCTATTCTTGTGAGGAGTCAATTCAACAGAATAATTTAGTAATAACATAGTAATTCATCAGAGTAATTTAGTAATTTATGTTATTAATGGAAGTGATTAAATAATCATTCCATTAGCATTTATGCAGTAAGTAAAAAGATTACATAATGATTATTTGTGTCAAATAATGTTCTTTGATTATATACATATATACATCATATACATACATACATACATACATAATTTTATTAAAATATTTTAAATTAAAAAAGGATAAAATGAAAGTTGCCAAATATTTTAAGAAGTATCTTGGAAAAAATAAGCTATATTTACAATTTCCACAAATTAAATCTAGACAAATTACAAGATGGTGTGGTTGATATTGATGTAGAATCAATAGTTTTTCAGCATCTACAAGCAAATAAAGTGGTTGTATTTATTTAGAAGTACTTTTAGTTTCAACGACCTGTTAGTAAAACCAACAAATGAAAATTTGTTTCTTTCCACTATCACACAGTAGATGATCTTATATTATCTAAAAGATCTTAAAATATGTGCGATTTTTTTATTTAACTTAAAATAAAAATAAAAATATACTATTAAGCAAATAATTAAAAGAGATTTAATTACGAGATTTTCTTTTAATTATTTTCTTAATAGTATATTTTAATTTTAAATGAGATATTAAGCAACATATTCAATTAATTCATAACTATATATATATATATATATATATATATATATACATACTTTTTTTTTTCAAAATTCTATGAAATAATTTATTAACTATAAGATAAAAGACTACATTTAAGAATTGCAAAATTACATTATTTAAAATTGGTGGTTTGAATCCTAACTTTGATATCTAAACTATGCTTAATAAACTTATGTTGTGTCAAATAAAGAAATAAATAATACACACACACAAACACACACACACACATATATATATATACATATATATATATGTATATATTCTCTTCCCATCTCCTCTCTTGCCAGTTTCTAGATGGGGCGACGGCGATGGATGCACAACCCTGTGCTACAATCACAAAGCAGCGATCTCGAGGAAGTGGAGTTTCAAGTTGGGTGTCGCCGTGTAGTCCTGAGGATTCCGGACCGTGGAGCCCCGGGCATCGGTGGGAGCTTCCTCAGTCGTAACTGCTGTGCAGCGCTCCATGTCTTTTTCTGAAGGAGGAGTTTCAATCCCTTTGCATCCGCTGTCTCTTACAGGAGGAGGGAGATGTCGAGATTAGGTAAGTATAGAGCAATAGAAGATGTGGATCAGAGAAGCACCGCTCTGTGTCTGAGGTCGCTGACTCGTGTGCCGGCACTTTTGCCTTGGGAGATTCCGATCTTGGTTAGAAAACGCAGCCCCGATGCACTTGCGACAATTCGCAGCCAAGCTCGATAGGACTGTTGCGATGGGTGAGTTTTTCTCCACCGATTCGCAAGGGTATCCGTCTTAGCGGCATCAGACACGCGACTGGAAGTATTATATTGAATTGAGAAACAATGGGATGTGTGAACAGAATAAAGTACACCTGCAACGAGTTTGCATTGCATCGTAAGCTCTATTCGCATGCTATGAACTTCTAGAGGAAGCGGACTTGTGTGTATGAAGACAAAGAGAGGGGATTTCCCCACGATGTTTCGTACGTATTGTCCCCCCTGGTGCCAAATCCTGGAATGCATCGCTAGTCTACCCTCGCTTGTACGAAATACACGAGATCGACAGAGCGTAATCGTCATCGAGCACTGCCTCGACCCGCATTTCAAGGCTTGGTCGTGTTCAAACGTGTGCGTCAAATTCGACCAGCCGCGGCAAAGCATTGGAGTACGACTTCCAAAGTAAAGATGAATGGCTCGCAGAAAGGTCAGGTCAATCAATTTGTACAAGTGCGACATCTAATCAGATACATCTGTCTCAGTTAACTCATCACTATTCCTGGCAGACCTTACTGCATCCTGTGCGGGCAGTCCACTCTGCAAACAGCTTGCAGTGCAAAAATTGTCGAAGGCTCATTCCGGTAGCTTGTCTTGGTGTTTCTGAAGTCCATGCCTCAATTGTGGTGACCTAGCAACAAGAGAGCAATTACAAAAGTTTTAAAAAACTTCAGAAATTTTAGGAAATACCTAAAAGCAGTTGAAAAGACCATTTTTGTATAAACGTGCACGAAAAATGACAACTTGTCAGTATCACAACAACTATTCTTCAATTATTGCAATCCACAGAAGCCCGTCGCTTGAATAATTAGAAGCGTACTGCTTCATTAAGTGGCTCAATCGGGCTGCAGAGTGGATTCAATGACATTGTCCTCGAATTCCGTTCCAGCCCCATCGTAGAATTCTCAGAAGTGAGAGGGTGAATTGCTGCAGAGTTGGGTTGAATCCAGTTTGGCAGACAAAGACACAAACTGTAGCAGCTCTGGGGACTCCAGCAGACCAGAAGCTGCTGACCCTCCAAGTCCAACTTCGTCGCTGTAATCTCCGCTGTCACTGCAAGTCTTGATGGTCAGCCAGAATTGTACCGAACAGTTGTACCCGTTTGCGAGAACCAATTTTGTGGGCAGGTTTAGATGGGTTTCGGTGTATCTGGTGCTAGATTGAACCAGAACGTAGAAGTATATGTCTCGATGGCACGAAGGCAATTCGAAAGTTTTTGCAGACGTGATTGTGAATGAGTATTTCTCGGGAGATACTAAAGTTCATTTTGTTCGTCGGCAGCGCTCTGAGAATGAATGCGCTTCAATGTTGGACAACGAGTTATCAATGACACAGTTAATATGCTGAGAACAGGAGGTGGACGTCAATGCGGAGTCATAGTCATGGAGGAGCGAACTGTCCTTGACCCTGCAGGAGCACAAGCGCTCACGAAACAGAAATCACCAAGTTAAGTATACCATCACCGTGATCCAGCTTCGTCAATATTGCTGAGAATTGTGGCTCTGTGGTATCTAATCGGATGGCAAATTGCAGTGACGGCTGTAGTTTTTCATGGACTTGTGACTTTTTTAGTGATCAGTTCTTCCAGCATTCCAGTCTATGAAATACGCGAAGCAAGTTCTAACTTCTTAACTGTGTTACTGAATTGTATACAATTCAGAATCATTTGTCGTCAAGTCCAAGGAGTTTTAGGTTGAGATTTTCTACTCAGCAGGATCTTGTTAGGCATCTTCGCCCTTACAGTTATAACTTGTGTGTGCGTGCAGATCAAAAATTGAAAATGGAGGTTATTGGCAGGTTCGTGTCTGTGCAGTTATGCACAGCGGCTTGTTTTGATATTTTCGTGACCACAGATTAAGCATCTCCTTAAGTGGCTGATTAATCATCACATGAGAAAAAAATGGCCTTATTCATGAGCAGGGCACAACTAGGTACGAAGATCGAGTGAACCACCCTGTTTCTTTTTCGAAATTGCCTCTTACATTGTAGATTTATGTCTATTTTTATACACAGGCACACAAAGTGTTTATCATTCTGATTTCTCTGTTTATTTGTTGTATGAAATCTGAAGGAAGCCAGATAGTGAAGCTGGTATTGGGAGGCTTTAGCCAAGGTGTTTGCAACCGCTCAGTCCATGTGTCTGTTCAGTCAGCTATACACACAAGCTCCTCGCTCCATTTCTGGGAAATATTTCAACGGCGACTCGTTCCACCTGAAGTCTCAAGCGGTCACTGCGCCTAGAGCCTGATGCCAACCAACAAATAAGTGACCTCAATTTCTGTAAGTAGCCGCATTCTCTGAATCACATCTCTTAGTGCTGTTTCGAAATTCGTGTTCACTCAAGGCATAGAGCTCTGAAGATTCCCATCATATTTTTGGTTATTGCGAAGAAATGCAGTAAAATTGAGAGCTTCCTATATTTGATTGACTTTGACATCGGTAGAAGCCATAAAATTTTGAGCCAATTTTTCGAATCACTCTGAGCTGAAGCTTGTGCATATGGATGACTGAACACAGACAATAATATCATGCCTGTTCGACAAGAATACCCTCCTGCCAACACTTTCCTCTTTCCCTCTGACGAATATGTCACAGCCCGGCATTACCCTAATGTATGTCCTCTTTCTCATTTGCCACATTCCAAGTCGAATCTATAACCTTGATAAGCTGTTGGGTTCGGCGTCGAAACGAGGAGATGATGGGGTCTACCCCATGTGTGCAAATTAATAATTAAATAAATAAACTAGGAGATGATGACTGACTCGTGCATGGACCCACATTTTTAGGAGGTTTCAAACGAAGAACCATCACATTCTATTATTTTGTAGAGAAAAGAAAGAAACGAAAAAAAAACGTGCAATTAAATGGTAGGTGGTGCCAATGTATCTCTGTGCAAACCTTTATTCGCAAGGACAGAGAGATAACGACAAGGCTATATACCTGACCACCAAATCTCTTTACCCGGACTTAATTTGTTTGGCGGCACACATGCATGTCTGACATGGTTGACGGTCAGCTTTGGTAATTGATAACCAAGTTGCGCCACTAGGTGACATGAAAAGGCTATATTACGTAAGCCCATGTGTGTAGGCAGGCACATAGTTAGAGGGTCCTATTTGTCGTGCTCATGATGATGAATTAATCACAGGGTCTGCAGCTAAGCAGCCACTAAGTTGATGACAATTTGAAGCTGCTCTATCCATCGTCGCGTAATGAGTTGATCATTCACTGAGGAGCACATTGCATTCTTCAACATACCACCTGCATCACCAAATCATGGACTGGCACCTTGTCATGATCAGTTTTACAACTGTGAGTCCAGCGGCCTGGTGCAACTTCTTGGCGATGCCGAAGCTTCTGTGATCCATGTCTCTTCTTCAGCGTTGAGCTTTCTGTCTGCAATGTTGAAGAAAGTGGAACCTCTCGGGGTGAAGGTCTAACATTAGTCCCCGGCATTAAATCGCATAATTTCGTTAACATCTGGTGTGATCGCACCCTTTCGTAAGCAACTCTGTGCTTTCCGTTAAAAAGGGAGGAAGTCCATCTAATTCCTTGCGAGTCCAAACTTCCTTTTTCATATTTCGCATGCTGCAAATCTTGCAAAGAATCAAATAAGTTAATTCAACTCGAGTGCTCAGGGGACGACAAATCAAGGCACGTGATTTTAGACAGCCATGCTCCACCGGTCCTGAACTTTCCTCGTTGACGGCATCAGCACCGATTTTCTACTATGTCATCATACTAGAAAATTGGTAGTTGAATGAGAGTTGAGAGCAATCCTCATGATGATCATTAGCACATTAAGTCGCCTCTGGAATCCGCTTCTAGCTGAAAGGTTTGATGGTGGCAAACTTGCCCGAATGCAGGGACAATAATTAAGCATCTTGTGACCCAATGCGTGAAATCCGGTCCAGATAGTCCCACTAAGAACACGAGACTTACCAGTACTGCCAATTTTCCAAATTTTTGACGATATTCTTTAGTCCAAAGCAACAGATGTTCATTTCCTTAAAAGAATGCGTTGATGGTTGACACAGAGCCGAGCGAGATTTTTTCCCGGTTATTTCACGTAAATTGCTTAAGACGACAAAGAAATGCATGTACTAGTGATTCGTACCATACTATAAAGAAATAGTCGTAAAATACTGCTTAGAATTGGTCGTATCATATTTCTTAGAATTGGTCGTATCATACTTCTTAGAATTGGTCGTATCATACTTCTTAGAATTGGTCGTATCATACTACATTGTATGGTCGAGCACTTCGAAGAATCGAGATATCCAATTATTGTGCGCTTTCCCTGTAGTTCTGCAGATCCATACTCGCTTCCCACGAAATTGTGTCATTAAAACTAAACTTTTAATTTCCATCTTGCAATGCTCATGGCAGCATCAAACCTTAGGATGACCTTTAAAGACGATAGTAACTCAGAGGGCTTCCTGTGTTTTACAAACAACAGAGAATAGTGCAGTCGCAAAGAACTGCCGAAGATCGTGAGTCAATGTGGAATTTTACTGGGCCAAAAACTCAGATCTTTGATCCGCAAAAGCCTCAAGATTTCTGTATTATAACCCTATATTACAATCCCTCTTCCAGAAAATACCAGTTGCCGCTAAAACCAATACTACCTCTAATTATTTATTTAAGAGGGTTTACCCCACTGAGGAGATTCGAGGAGATACTTCTGTCACAGCTGACCTCGGAGACTGAGAGATCAACAGGAGACTGGAGTCTAGTGGTCCTAGAATGCCTGCCATTACTTTATTCGTAAAGTTTGACTCAAGTTTGCCACCATTACCAACTACCCATAGTGGAAATAGTGACGACTGTTAAATTTTTGATAAGGAAACCTTTCCTGTATGCGAGCAGGATGGTTCTGAAGAGAAATAGTAGTTCATGAGGGCTTGCATCGGAATAGTTTTTCACTAGAATTTTCTTATGTGCTCCACGTGGTTCTCGATGGGGATTGGAGAAGGCAATGCGCTCTATGAGCAGGGCCAACAGTAATATCTTAAAGATAGAACCTGCCCGCCAGATTTACTACCTCTACTTCGATATACGTGTATCCATTCGCGTACAAGACCATAGAAGCTCAAAAACCTCTGCAGCGGTTTAAGCCTCAGTCTGATCTGTTAATTCCCGCTCTGCTTTACCTTCACCATTTTTTCCATTCCGAGAACTTTGGATCGCGACCAGGCTTACTCTCAAGGGGTTTGTGGAGAGTGCTGCAGACTTCCTTCAACTGCCGCAAGCCAGGGGGCATGGATCAGGAGTGCTTCGGCAGCAGATTCAACAATCCACCAGTCATATCGTTGCGAGTACCTGGGTCGCTGAAGCATCAATCGCAAGCTGAATCGACAGAGTGTGCGGAGAAGGTCGAAGCTATGCTCAGTTTGGCCGTTTTGCACCTAGCGGATCTAATGAACTTGCTCACGCTAGACTTCTCGGAGGGCCTTGCACTTGATCCTGATACCAGACTGCCCACTCCAGTGACTGAAATACCGCCGGTGATCCTTGTAGACATGAAATCCAAGTTGGAGAAATCTTTAGAATGGTGTCATCTTGCGAGAAGCCGCCTCAGAGATATCACCCAAGTTCCCAAGGTTCCAAAGGTCTTGCATTCTCCATCGACGCACCAAGATCAGCAAGTCAACTTTTGGGAAACGCTAGCCTTGTCCCCCGATTGGAAAATTGACTTCGCCTCTCTCACATGAATTCAGCACGTTAAGTTTGCAACAAACTGGCGAATGTCATATGAACGGCGGCATGCAGGACGGGCTTCAAACTGACTGGATTTGTCGTTGAAGACTTAGAAAAGCCAAATTTAGACACATGCAGGTGTAGAAGTGTTATTCCCAGTATGTGGTAGGTCGAGTACTGATGGAGAATCGTTTCTTCCAGTTCTGAGCAACGAAGAGACTGCTTAACACGAAGGAATTGATGCGGGAGAAAGTGATACCCTCCAAAAGAAGGTTATTAATCCCATATTCGTTAGTTTTGGACAGTCACACAATAAGTGGACATGGCTGTCAGTTTTCACTGTTTTCGCTATGCACAACATACAACGGAGTGCAGACTTGTGTGCTGTAGTTGTGATATAAAACGTAGATTACATTTTCCGAAATCAGAGATAACCTTTTGCAGGTCTCTGCTGGAGACTGTGTGGTGCAACTTGGCCCACCTTTAGAGAAAGTATATCAGTGCATCTCTGATGAAGCTGTAAGCCTTTGTAATCTACGATCATTATTCTGCGAAAAAGCTCTGTATATGCTAAAACTAATACATTTAATGATCGGATTTTCGAACTGATGCCTCTGCAATTGTCTTCACAGCTTGTTACCTCGGCTTTTAGAGTCTGCAGGCACAACACATTTATGGAACAGAAGAATGAATTCCAAAGGTAGAATGTTCTGAAGACACTTGAGATTCTTTGACCACCCCTTTCCTTTGTTCTTGTTGCATCAGGTAGGTTAAGTCTTTGCATTTTAGTCACAGAGTTGGTGAATGTATGCGAACTAAACATGGCGGGATAGTGACATCGATGGCATCGAGCCTCGTTCAGTTATTTAGACAGAAATGACGAAGAGGAACCATCCTCCAGCTTTGCAATATTTTACGAATTCCTAGCTGAAATTGAGGATGTGGATCCAATAGAGCTACGGGAATGAAGATGAGTTGCTCAATCCAGCTTAAAAAGAATCCTGAAGTACTTCACAACTAGAGAGGGTTTACAAATGTAGCTACTTGTGATAGTATGCTGTACAACATTCTCTGCGCATTGATGCAAATACTCACATGGGTACTAGAATTTCATAACCATGTAGCGGTGCTCGAAACATCCTTGCTGGGCCAGCAGCCCTATCGTAGTGGAGACCGCAAACGACTGTTTCGGCACTGACCGTGGTAACCTTTCTATCAAATAGAGGCAACCTTTCCTGGCAGGTCGCACCCATTACGATAGCGATCCCCAGGTGTATTTTACTACGATTCTATCAAATGGCTCACATTCACTAGCCACGCTCCCATTGCCAGCTCAGGCTCTTCCGGAATTCTACTTCTCGGCCCAGCTCTTCAATCACCTGACATATGGACCAGTATAGCATGGCGGCATAAGCAGTCCTGGAAACTACCCAAGACATACGTTGATCAGATTCTAATCTCCACGACCGAAGTTAGTGATGATCGATTGCGGTTCCACTGGGCTAAAATCCTACCCCCACCTCCATCACAATCACCCACCACATCAGATACTGGTAGCAACGATCGCCGAATTCTGTCCACGCATTCACGATAGCCAATATACAAGGCTGGAAGGGGTCACAGTAGGACTAGAGGATGGTTTCATGTCTGAGTGAGCGATTTACTGGACGTGTACCAACTCAAAGCGATCTAGATATGTATCTAACTTTCGCAGAGAAG